CGTTACACTTCAAGTCAGCATGTTGCGCACACACACACACACACACACACAGAGCACAGCGAACAGAGAGAGAGAGAGAGGGAGGTGTTGAGAGCAGAGGGTTGAAGGGAGAGGGGGAGGGCGGGCAGAGAGAGGGAGAGAGGTGGATACGGAACGAAGGGGAGATAGAAGGCAGATGCAGAGAAAGAGGTAGATGTGAATACCGCGGCAGAGACAATGCGAGACACGATGCCGAGAGGCAGAGACGTTAAACGCGAGAGAGGGAGAGAGGGAGAGCGCCGAGCGATCGAGGCTCGATCGGACCAGAGCAGAAAGACGGAAATCGCGCTGCATCTGGCACAACCGCAGCCGGATACACGCGGTACAAGGCGTTTACATTGGTGTCTACGCTGCCATCTGTGCCGCATGCGCTGCCGTTTTTGCAGAGAGAGGCAGAGAGAGGCAGAGAGAGAGAGAGAGAGGGAGAGAGAGAGGGAGAGAGAGAGAGACAGAGAGAGACAGAGAGAAGAGAGAGACAGAGAGAAGAGAGACAGAGAGAGACACAGAGAGAGACAGAGAGAGCCAGAGAGAGAGACAGAGAGATACAAAGGCATACACAGATCAAACTTATAAAGGGACAGACTATTACTCACCTCAAAGGCGACGACGGAAATACGGTAGACAAAGGATTTTGATGCAGGGATCAGGCGTGGTGAGAGGTGTGGTGGGTTTCGGGTTGAGACAGGGTGATCTATAGTGGGAATGTAGAGCAAAGTCAGAGAGACGTGTCGAGTAGGATCATTGTCAGCGAGTGCGAGAGAGCGAGAGAGGAAGGGGACAAAAGAAATAAGAAGAAAAACGAGTGGAAAACAAAAGGAAGTTTTTCGGATTTGCCCAAAACAAAAGGAAACAAAAGGAATCGTTTAATATTTTACTTTGGAGGATAAAGCGGAATGTAAGTATATTTTGGAGAGCAGAATCGTTTGGCGGAAAGTAAAATACATAACTCGAGGAGCGGGGACGGTGGGTGGGTCGCAGCGATCGCTTGCTGGTTCCAAACGTGCCGTGTCCGTGTCTTATGATTGTGGCTGGAGAGCTCGGAGGATTATGGGGACGGTCGACGCCAAAGAGCGTTTCAAAAATTGTATCGCTCCTCTGCCGAGCGTCCCGATTAGCATTCGAATTGGGCTGATGAGGCGACGTCGCGTGGCGTATCGGTGTGATTGGCGGGTCATGGGTTTATATATTAATTTAGTGCGCTTGGCCCTCAGCTGATCCGCGGGTACATGGTTATCATCACTCTGGATCCAAACTCTCCATGTCCGTCTCTTGATCGCGCCTTGTTCTTTTTTTTTTCCCCTCCCGTTGCCCATGTTGAGTCTTATCGTCAAGCATCCAAGCTTCAATTTTCGCGGTGGTGGTGGAGAATCGATTGCCCTTGCTCAACTGGGGAAAGCCAGGCCATTCGGGGAGGTCGTTTTGAGTCGTCGAACAACGATACGCGTTGAGTCGCCACAATCACCGTGTGCAACCACAAGGCCAGGCAGCAGGTGTTACCCGGCCGATGACAGTCCAGTCACAGTGTGCACAGTCACAGTCACAGTCACAGTCACGGTCACAGTCACAGTCACAGTCACAGTCACAGTCACAGTCACAGTCACAGTCACAGTCACAGTCACTGGTGCTTTTTCCACATCGGAGCGCGACATACACACAAAATAAAAAGCAAAAGGAAAGCGGAGGTATCCAGGGGGGTGGCCACCTCATGTCACCATCGCAATTCGACTGGATGAGAGAGGGGGTTAACCGAGGCGACCGGGCGGCCTCGCACTTCCCACAGAGCCTTGAAATGCTCTGGCATATAAACCCCGTACACGTCAAGAACTAACACCAAGAAAAAAATATCTTCAAGCACAAGGTCTCAGGTGCCAACTTTGGCCCAAAGGGGAAACAACGATACTCGAAAGAGAAACTTTCTTTTTTTTTTTGTGTGTGTGTATGTGCGCGCGCATTGCTCTCTCGACGGTATTGCACTCGTTGTTTCTTCATTGAACTCTCCAGTCCGTGTCTTGTCATGCCATGGACATGGGCTCGCCTTGCTGCATGTCTCCATTGAATACCCTCTACCTCTCTCTGTCTTTGACTCTGAATGCTCACTCTCGATCTCTTTGCCTGTCTCCATTGAACGCTTTCCTCACTCCTCTGTCGCTCCCCATCGAGCACGCTCTGTCTCTGACTCTGACATGTGAATAACTCCATTCTCTTCTCTCCGTCCTCCTTGTCGCCCCCCATTTCCCTCTCTCTGGGTAGCCTCTCTGCGGTTATTTATTTCCAAAAAGCAAAAGGAAAGCGGAGGTAACCAGAGGGGGGGTGGCCACCTCATGTCACCATCGCAATTCGACTGGATGAGAGAGGGGGTTAACCGAGGCGACCGTGTGGCCTCGCGCATTCCTGTTCATCTCATCAACTACATCTACTTATAAAGACCATCCCAGACACATGATGGAGTGAAGAAAAAAGTAATCAAGCACAAGGTCTCGCCCACCAGACAGCCAAACAGACAGACACACACACACACACACAGACAGACAGACAGAACACACACACACACACACACACACACGCACAGACACAGACACAGACACACACACACACACACACACACACACACACACACACACACACGCACACACGCACACACACGCACGCAAAGTACATAGAGACAGAGACACACAAGAAACAGGGTGGTGGGGCATTTGGTAGATGTCAGACTTTTAATGGTCTATCCCCAATTTTTTTTTTTTTTTTTTTTTTTTTTTTCAAGAATCGCCGACACGCGCTGGCGCCACACGCGCTCTCGGACGGGGAGCAGCACGACGACCCAGCCCTTGGCTGTGCATTGGGTGGGAGTGAGGGGCTTCTTTTTTTCAATACCCAACGCCGGCATGCTGTTGTGTTGGGTTGCGTGCAGTCTACTTGTGGTGATGGGCTCGGCAGGGGTGGATGCTGCTTTGGTCGTTTGGGGTCGATCTGGACGGCAACCTCCACATTAATACCTCCTCAACGGGTGGCGATATGCGTTTGCTGCTCAATGGGGTTGATGTGCTGCAAGAGCTGGCGGATCTACGCAGAATATGCGCCGAAAGAATGGTCACGCCCACAGTGATTTACTCGGGGACAGTCGGCTGCCAGCTGGATAGAGTGCCCTTGGATGTGACGCACATCTCCGGCAACATCAGCCTGATGTCATGCTCACTTTTGACGGCAGATGACCTTCAAGTTTTTAGCAAGCTCGTTCACGTGAGCGGGCACGTGAGCATTGAAGTGAGTCTCAAGTTGTCTTCATCTTTTGCATCTTGCTCGTCAGGAATGAGAAGCAGAATGCCGCAGCTTGCCTTGTTGTCAACGGTCGGGTGTTGCGACGTGTGAGCCTTCATGACGGGTTGCGATTACAATGTGATCTGCACAAGTTTGGGTCCCCCGTATTGGCACGAGCACCAACAGGCCAAGGCAGGGAAGGAGCGGTGCGTAAAAGGAAATTTGAATTTCTCAGCGACTTCCTTTTTTTTTTTTTTTTTTTTTTTTTTTTTTTGGTCTGGATAGTTCAATTCCGTCTTGACCAATGTGGATGGGCTCGCCCGCATCACCAGCGTCGGCGGCTACTTGACCATCAACGTACGTTATTGCATCGGGACGTCATACATTTTGTGTCTTTGAATGGGGCACGTCTGTTGACGTGCAGGAGCACTGTGGTGGGAGATATCGTGCCTGTGGGGATCTAATGGATTGCTGTGTTGACTTGACACGGAATAATGCCGCTTTGGCCAATGTGAATGGACTTGCCAGTCTCGGCAGCGTCGGCGGCTACTTGTCCATCACTGTACGTTACTATTTAAGGGCTCGTTGCTTTGAAATGAGCGTTGCCGTTGACGCGGATGAGAATTTTGCTGGGGTGCTCTCTGCCTGCACCACACACACACACGCGCACACACATATCCCAGCATGACCACCGGCCATTCTGAATCCTTCTTCTTCTTTTTCTTTCTCTTCATTTTTGCCTTCTTCTTCTTCTTCTTCTTCTTCTACTTGGGACTTCTTCTTTTTCTTCTTTTTTTTTTTTTTGCCTTCTGCTTGGTTCTTCTTCTTCTTCTTCTTCTTCTTCTTCTTCTTCTTCTTCTTCTTCTTCTTCTTCTTCTTCTTCTTCTCTCTCTTCACCCCCCTCCTTTTCTTCCGCCTGTCATCTCTCTGTCATACATCAGCCATGATCAACCAGTTTCAGGAGGCTCTGCGCTGTGCTCTTTTGCCGTGAACCAACATTCACCTGAGGGATTGCTTCGCGGGCTGGGATAGGATAATTCCAACTTGAGCAACGTGAATGGACTCGCCAAAATCACCAACGTCAGCGGCTACCTGCACGTTTCTGTACGTTGCTGCATCAGGGCCTGCCACTTTGAATGGAGCGTGTCTGTTGACGGGGATGGCCATTCCGTGGGGATGAATCGGTTTGTTTTTGTGGTCATCTTGCATGGGATAATGACGCTTTGACCAATGTGGATGGACTCGCCAGCATCACCAGCGTCAGCGGCTACTTGGCCATCTCCGTGTGTGTTTGGAAGAGAGCGCGACACCTCGACTGCGTGCCTGTTGACATGGACTGTCATGTCGGGGACGGTGTGTTTTTGTTCATCTAATGGATTCTCGTATTCAAACATGGGTTCAACAGGGAAATTCGGCCTTGACCAATGTGGATGGCCTGGCCAGTATCACCAGCACCGGTGGCTACTTGACCGTCAACGTACGTTGCTGGATCGGGACGTGTTGCCTTGAATGGGGTGTGCCTGTTGACGTCGATGAGTATACTGTTGGGATGGTGTTCTCGTGTGCATCTAATGCATTGTTTTTTTGCATAGAATAATGATGCTTTGTGCAATGTGGATGGTCTTGCCAGTATCACCCGCATCAGTGGCTACTTGACCATCTACGTCTGTACTTGTATGGGGCGTGTTATTTTGAATGGGGCCCGTGTGGATGTGGGAGGGCATGTCATAGGTGTTCGTGTGTTTGTGTTCGTCTAATGACTGGCTTTGTTGGTTTGCATAGCATAATTACAACTTGACCAATGTGGATGGACTTGCCAGTCTCACCAATATTGGCAGCTTCTTGGCCATTTACGTACGTATTTGTATCAGGTTTTGGCGTTTTGAATCAGGGGGAAGGCTGTTCACGCGGGTAAACATAATGTTGAGGGTGTGCTGTTCGTGTCTGTCTGACAGCTTGTTGTGTTCATGCACGGTTTCAACAGGGGAATTCCGCCTTGACCAGTGTGGACGGACTTGCCAGCATCAACAGCATTCGAAGCTTTTTGTCCGTTTTTGTACGTTGCTGTATCAGGGCGTGGCACTCTGATTGTGGTGCCTGTGTGTACGTGATGAGCCGAACGTAGGTATTGGTGTGCTAGTATGCATCTGATGAATGGCATCATTGGCTTGCGTAGGATAATTCCAAATTGACCAACGTGAATGGACTCGCCAGTATTACCAGCGTAGGCAGCTACCTGTCCATCATTGTACGTAGCTGCAATCAAGGCCTGTCATTCTGTGTGTAAACCCGGTGGAAACATGATGTTGGAATTGCCATGCGGCTGATGGATTGCTTTATTGACTTGGATAGAATAATGACGCTTTGGCCAATGTGGATGGACTTGGAAACATCTCCAGTGTTGGCAACTACTTGTCCATCACAGTATGTTGTTATGTAAGGCCATCTGTGGACGTGGGTGAGCATCATGCCGGCTTGTATGTGTGCGTCTGACGACTTGTTGTGTTGTCTCGGTCAGGAGAATGCTGCTTTGACCAATGTGAATGGACTTGGAAGCATCTCCACCATTAGCAATTCCTTGGACATCTCTGTGCGTTGCGGTACTTGACTATGGCGCGCCTGTTGGTGTCAAGTGGGTGGCATTCGTCTGTTTGTGTTTGTCTGATAGATTGCTTGGTTGGCCTGCATAGGATAATTCCAACTTGACCAATGTGGATGGACTTGCCAGCATCACCAGCGTCAGCGGCGAATTGTCCATCACTGTATGTTGCTCAGTAGAACGTGTTGCTTCGAGTGTGGCACGTGTATGGATCCATATGTGGGTAGGCATGGTGTCTGAGGTGGTGTGTTGGTTGTCTGTGTCAAACGGCTTGTTTCGTGCATCAACAGGGGAATCGCCTTCTGGCCGACGTGGATGGACTTGCCAGGGTCACCAGCATCGGAGACTTGTCCATCGCTGTACGCTGCCGCTTCACGGCGTGTCACTCTGAATGTGCCGTGTCCATGGCCGCAGCTACACGTTAAGTTGGGGCGGTCTGTTTGGATGTGTCTGATGCCTTGTTGTCTTGCACAGAACACGACGCCCTGACGAATGTGAATGGACTTGCCAGTATCACCAACATTGGCAGCTACCTGGCCATTGCCGTAAGTTGCTCAATCAGGTAGTCTGACTGTGGCACGTCCACCGACGTGCCACAGTATAGGGCTGAGGGTATGTGTATGTGTGTGCGTCTAACAGCCTGTGCTATGTCCGCCCCAACAGGAAAATTCGGCCTTAACCAATGTGGATGGATTTGGAAACATCACCAGCGTCAGCGGCTTTTTGTCCATCACTGTACGTGACTATGTGAGGATGCATCTCTCCGCATACGGCGCGTGTGGGCGTGGATGGGCATTTTTGTTGGGGGAGGCGGAGTGGATGCGGCTGACGGCTTGATGTGTCGTTTCGGGTAGAATAATGACGCCCTGACCAATGTGAACGGGCTTGCCAGTGTAAAACGCCTTGGCAGCTACTTATCTATCAATGTACATAACTGCAATGAGGGCGTGACACTGTTGAATGTGGCGCGTGTGGACGCAAGAGAGCGTCCTGTTAGGCTTGCTGCGCTAATGTGCGTCTGACGGCTCACACAGGGGAACGCCGCCTTGGCCAACGTGGGTGGACTGGCCAGTATCACCAGAGTCGGCGGCTACCTGTCCATCTCTATCTCTGTACGTGTCTACATCAGGCCGATTTACTTTGACTGTGGCAAACCTGTTGATGCGGGTAGGCATAGTGTTTTGGTCGCTTGTTTGTGACCGTCTGATGTCTTCCCGCGTTGGCTCAATCAGAATACTGAGGCCTTGACCAATGTGGATGGGCTTGAAAACATCTCCAGTGTTGGCAACTACATATCCATCACTGTAGGTTGTTGTGTCAAACAGTGTCACTTTGAATGTAGCTTGCGTATGGGTTTTGGAAAGCATATCGCAGGTGATCGTGGGTATAAGCTCGTCTGATGAGTTGGTTTGCATAGAATAATTTCAACTTGACCAATGTGGATGGACTTGCCAGTATCACCAACATTGGCAGCTACCTGGCCATCTACGTATGTGCTTATATAATGACGCTTCAATTTGAATGGAGTGTGCCAGTTGACCTGGATGAGAATCATGTTCAGGGGTGTTCTATTCGTTTTTGTCTGATGGCTTGTTGAGCTGGCTTCAACAGGGAAATTCCGCCTTGACCAGTGTGGACGGACTTGCCAGTATCACCAGCGTCGACTACTTGCACGTCATCGTATGTTGTTGCATGTGGCATCCGACTGGAGCGAGTATGTTGTTTGGGTGGTGTGCTAGAGTGCACTAATGGCTTGCTCCATTGGCCCGCATAGAATAACAACGCTTTGTGCAATGTGGATGGACTTTCCAGTATTGCCAACGTTGGCAGTAACTTGCACATCAATGTACGTTGTGTACAAGGGCGCGTTACGTTCAATGTGGCACGTCCGCGGACGCGGACGATTGGTGTGTTTGTGTGCGACTGATGGATTGCCTTGTTGGCTCCAACAGGAGAATCCCGCCCTGACCAATGCGAATGGACTCGGCAGTATCATCAGCGTCAGCGGCTACTTGTCTGTCTACGTGCGCTTCTATATCATGCCGTGTTACCCCGTGCCTGGCGTGTCTGTCGACGCGGATGAGCATTTTGCTGGGGTTGGGTGTGTTTGTGTGTGTCTAATGGATTTCCTTGATTGGCTTGCATAGAATAATGACGCCATGACCAATGTAGATGGATTTGGAAATATCACAACTGTCGGCCGCTTCTTGTCCATCAACGTACGTAGCTGACCTGAGGGTGTTCATTTTGAAATCAGCGCTTGTATGGATGAGTGAGTGCCGTTGGGATTGGTGGGGTAATGTGCGCCTAACGGCTTGCTTCATTGGCCCGCATAGAATAACAACGCTTTGTGCAATGTGGATGGCCTTGCCAGTCTCGGCAGCGTCGGCGGTTACGTGTCCATCTCTGTACGTTGCTGCGTAGGCCATGTTACTTGAAGTGGAGGATGTGCGTGCACTTGGCGAGTGGAACTTAAAATTGGTCGCTCATGTGCGTTGCTGTGCTGGGTCGAACAGTATAATGACGCCTTGACCAATGTCGGTGGACTTGCCAGTCTCGCCGAAATTCGCGGCTACCTCTCCATCACAGTAAGGTGCTATATCAGAGAGTGTGGTCTGGCCTGTGGTACGTGTGTGGCTTTTGGTGGCATAGTGCTGTGTGTTTGCGTGCGTCTGACGACTTGTTGTGTTGGCTTGGTCAGTGGAATTCCAACCTGACTAGTGTGAGTGACTTGTCAATCCCGACTGCATCATCAATTGCGATGAGACTGGCCTGTGCTGGAAGCAGATGCCCAGCTACCGCTACGTCAAAGAAGACGACATCGTTACAGGGCGTGGAACAAAGCTTATGAAGGACAAAAACCGAGTGACCCTCGTTCTAGCCACAACACTCTCCGGGCTGAAAGTACCCCCATTGATCATTGGGACAGCCAAACGCCCGCACTGCTTCGACTATGATCCGCCAAATGAAGGAGATATCAATCTCTACACCCACCAGCAAAGCGCCTGGGCCGACAGAGCCAAGATTGTCCATTGGATCAACAAAATCCTCCTTCCTTGGAAGCGACGGTTGGTTGGAGCAGCAAAGATCCTTCTCATCTGGGACAACGCGCCCGCGCACAACGTGAGCAACTTCGAGTTGGATGCGCCTGCGGAGGAGCTTGAAATTCTCTGCCTTCCCCCAAACCTCACCAGCCAATACCAGCCCATGGATGCCGGTATCATATCCGCGTTCAAGAGACGTTACAGAACCGCCATGATTCACGAATATGTGAAAGTCACGGCCACTGACGAGGCGTACAAACAAGCTCTGGAACGAGGCGAAACGACAAGGAAGCGCAGAGGTTGCTCAACGCTTGCCCAAGGCATCAAGTATGGTCAGATGCCCAGCATGTCTGATGCTGTCAATCTTTCTGGCAAAGCTTGGGGGGAATTGACAGCTGAGACGGTGACCAATTGTTGGCTCAAGGCAAAATGCCTCCCTGCAACTATAGTCCGTCCACATGCTGACTCGTTGTCCATAACCGCGACCAGCTTCACCCCCATGGAGACAAACGGTGATGCATCAACAGATGAGTTGAGCGACACGGACCTGCCTGCACTTGTGGCAGACGAGCTGAGCGACACAGACCTGCCTGCACTTGTGCAGGCCATGGATCACATTAGCAATGTTGTCCTCCGCAGCGGCCCGCCAGACATCTGCGAGGAGCTCGTGGAGGAAAGTGAAGTGGCGCTGGCTGAGAAGCTTCAGGCGCTGAGATTCCAGTTGTCGTCCTATGAAGACACTGAGGCGGTCACTGTCGCAATGTCCAGGCTGGTGCTTGAGGACGAGGTCAACACTGCCCACCAAGCCGCCGAAGAGCAGCGAGTGGAGGCTGAACGTCAAGTCGAAAATCAACGCGAAGTCAAGTCCTTGAAGGAAATAGCTCTGAAGTACGCCGAAGCATACTATGACGCTCTCACCCAGCTGCGCCTACGGGGCGAGGAGACGGGCGAAGCCATCGAGCGTTTGAATTAGACGGCGTATCACCGCCGAAACGACAGACCTCTCTTCACGATCACTTTAAGAAAGTTAAATTGCACATGTAAACACGTTGTTCACAGTGGAAAGTACCCCCGTTAAAGTGGAAAATCATGGCTATTCCCACCATTCCACTATAGAGGAGTCACCAGTGTACCAAGTTTTTTTCTTTTTTTTTTTTAACACAACGATGTAGGCTTAAATAATAGGGGAAAAAACACGGATGGTTGGAGTTAAAGGGGAAAAAAAAATAAAAATAAAAAAAAAATTACTGAAAAGATAAGATTGCACAACGTTGTAGGCTTGTAAAAGATTTTTTTACAAGCCTACATGCTTACTAAAGCTTGCTTGATGTTGGGAGGGGGGAGAATCCCGTGGGCCAAGTCGAGGCGTTGTGTCGCCTCGGGATGCTTCGAGTCCGAAGTGTGATATTGTGTAACCATGTGAACAGCTGTTGTGCACATATGGACCCTTTTCGTCGGACAAGATCGAAAAGAAGAGAAAAAGCATTTTTTCGCCTTTGGCTTTTGCGTTCTTCTTCTTCTGCTTCTTCTTCTTCTTCTTCTTCTTCTTCTTCTTCTTCTTCTTCTTCTTCTTCTTCTTCTTCTTCTTCTTCTTCTTTTTGGCAGCGGTCTCGGTATCGATATCGGCATCGGCGGGCTGCTTGACGTGTCTTGTTTTGTGTTTGCATGGTGACTGATCACTTGTGTTCGGTACGGGACTCCCCTGATCGGGACCTTGCGGCGACGCCAGAACGTTTTGATTGAAAGCATCGCTGCCATTTTTTTTGCTTTCAGTTGGCCTCACTGATCTCGCCTCACAGTCGACAACGTGCGCTGGGCAACCAAGTACCCTGTCCTCGCAACTGTCATCGATAACTATTGGCCAAAGGTGAGTCATTTGTTGCTTCAGGCAGAAAAGAGCAAAGAGCCCGCTGACCAGCTGCCGTTTTGGAAACGGCGCCTGTCGAATTTCACATGTCAGTTCGAATTTTGGGTTGTCAGACGAGTTGAAGCAAAAAGCGGTTCGAAGCGGATGGTGAAAGCGAGAAACCGTTGCCATGAATGATGGAGAGCAGCTGTACCGGGCGTGTCAGTCAGATCCACCAAAGGCGCTGCAGCTGTTGACCAGTTGGGACCCACAACGCATTCGAGATGCTGCCCAATTCAAAGATGATTGGGTATGTATGCTGTTTGGTATAGTGTTGTGTGATATTGGTCACACTTTCAATATGTCACTGCATATGGTGACGTAATGGTATAACATGGGACATGTACAAATGCACGTTTGTATCATACCACAGCTTGGCGATGCACCACTGCACGATGCCTGTAGTAACGGTCATGACAAGGTGGTGGAGATGCTGTTGAAGCACGGTGTTGATGCTAATGCCAACAACGACGTCAGTAGAGTACCTCCTTCCTTCCCCCCACTTCCCCTATAATGGTGCACCTGTACCACACGATGATAATAATGCTGCTGCTGTACCCCATGTTGATGTATCGTACCACAGCTCGGCCATACACCACTGCACTATGCCTGCATGTACGGTCAGGTCAAGGTGGTGAAGATGCTGTTGAAGCACGGTGCTGATGCTAAAGCCACGTTCGACGTTAGTACAGTACCTCCCTCTTCCTCCCTCCCCTCTAACTGCTGCTGCTGTTCCCACTGCTCGTTGCCTTTGCCCAGTCCCTCTCTCCTCTACTTCCTGCCCACCGTGCCCTTCCATTCTGCCTTTTGCTCCTTTCTTCTTTCGCGCTACACCTTTTCTTTTCTTGTTTTGCGCCCACCCTTTGTGGGTGCGCCCTGCTCCCCGCCCTGTTCCGCTGTATCTTCCACCCGCTTTCCTTTTCTGATGTTGTGACTCAAAACCCGCCAGTGTCTCTTTCGTTTTGTGATTCTACCTGGAAATGGCTCTTGTGCCGCATCTTCTTCGCTCGGGCTCGTGATGTCCTAGATTTTGCTGGCTCATCCAGACCCGTTGTCTTGCGCTACATGTCTGTCTTGCCCAAACAATAACGCGGCTGGCCGACCTATGCCACGGTAGGTCACGGACACATCTCTTCACCTCGCTTGTCGCAATGATCACGCTGAGATCGTTTCGATCCTTCTAAGTCATGGTGCAGACGCCCACGCGAAAAATTATGTAAGAAGCTTCTTGCCTGTCCCCTGATGTTGAACAAGTCCGATATCTTGCTTGCGCCTGTTTCTGTCTGATGGATTTGTTTTTGCGGCTAGTATCGGGAGACAGCATTGCACGTCGCTTGCCAAGGTGGTAGCACGAATGCGGTACAAAGTCTGTTGAGTCACAATGTAGACCCCAACATCACCGATCGCGTATGTTGCGCTCGTTGCTGTGTGAAATTAAGGGTCTCCTCTCTTGGAAAGGACTCGTTTCTCATGTTTCCGAGCATTGATCATAACATAGAACGGCCAGACGCCCCTCCATGCAGCCTGCGACGCCTTCTCTCTCAGCCGAGAGAATGTCCACCAACTCTTGCAGCACGGTGCCGACCCAGACGCGAAAGATCTCGTAAGCTTTTCGCCACGATGCCATACTTTTCTGCTGTTTTGTTACACCTGCAATTGATACCAAAAGTGTCCTGCTGTGGCGGCAGACGGGAGCACGGCCCTTGGATCTGCTCGTTCGCTGGGCTCCCAGCAAGCTGGAGGTGGGCCCTTTTTTAATTTTCGGTACTGATTGCAGAGGCAAGCTTGCTTACCGATGAATCTGCTTCACGTTTTAGCCGATCGCAGAGCTATTATTGAGCGCAATCCGTACCCCTTGCTCCTACCAAACTTCGAATTCTCATTGTACGAACCTGTAGCCCGCGTGATTGTTCATATTGTCATGTTCTCATCGAATTTTAACGTGGCGCCAGTCCAAGGCTTGATTGGTGCGGAGCAGGCCAGACGCTGGCGGTGCGCTGCTGCTGTTCTCTGTAGCGTCGGCTGGCGCGTGGATCCTCTATTGTTCAATATCCAAGATCTACAAACCCTTGGTGACCGCGTGGCCGCTCTAACGTCCGCCGCTCAAGCTACACGTACAAATTGAAATGGGTGACGCTTGTGGTGGGCTTGTGGATCGCTATGCAAACAGAAAATGAAGTCAAACGAGAAGAGCGGGCTTTGCTGAACATCTGGAGCAAAACAGTCCATCCACCGAAACAGCGTATGTTAGCGTCAAATCCGATCACCTCTGGATTTGGACACTCCCACTGCTTTCGCTTCCCTTCAGCAGCACCTGCTATGGGTCTGACCGCATCATTTCCGCACAAACCCAACACCCACACACTGAAACACATGAGTAACACCGCGTGCTCCGCGACCCTCGCATACCTTGTGTTAGCGTCAAATCCGTGCTTCAAACCTACGCGCTTCCTCGCAACCCAAAACCGGCCTCCAGACGCCCTGGAGCCTGACACCTTGGGGCCGACTGCCATGCGTAATAAGCTTGTGACGATTATTGTATTTCTTGCTGACACGCCTGCGGTTGAGCAGTAGTCACATTTTCCTCAGGAATGAGATTGGGCGACTCTGAGCTGTTCTAACGGTGCGCCTGGTCTGGTCACTGTGACTGCTCGTCAACCGCAGCCGGTCCAATTGACCAACAAAGCTCTCTATCCGTCCCGACGGACGTCGCACAACCCTTCCAAGCCGCTTCCTCAACTCTTACACAGCGTGGGCATGACGCTGGTCATCAACGAGCTGAAGCCAGAGCGCATGGTCGAACTGGGCCACAACACACCGTCGGCACTCCTCGAGTCGGGCATGCACGAGCTGTTCTGGTCGGCCTACGAGCAGCTCTCGGATCAGGGCCTGGCCGCCGCTGCGGTGACGCGTCTGTTTGACGACAATGAAGGGCAGTATCAGCATCGCCCCATGCGGCAAGTACAGCCGCAAACCGTCAGCAGGTACCTGAGTCTTGGAACACGCCTGGTCCAATTTTTGCTGCTGCTGGAGGCCATGCCAGCCCCCGATCCGTCCAGCTTTCTGGGCCAGGTGCTTGCCAGCCGTGGCCCTGCGGTAATCAATGCCACCGTGGCTCTGAGGGCGGGCCTGGACGATGAAATGACCAAGAAAGAGCTGGTCGAGCCCCTGACGTCTCTGTGGCTGGCCCTGGTGGAGGTGGAGCTGAGCCTCTTTGACAACGACAAGGTGCACTTTGTCAACGTCTTCTTATTGTGCACGGCCGTGTCCAAAGGAAGCGGCATCCTGCAAGACATCAGGCAGTGGACCACGACGCCCGCTGGACTGCTGTACGTTTTCAAATTGTTTCTGCTTCGCCGTGGCAAGAATGAGTCGTGGTCAGTGGCCAACGAGCTCAGGCCGTATATGCAGCCCGGGCGATTGGTGCATTTCTTGAGCCAGCGCATGAGCATGGCACGAACAGCGAGCGTGGCCGAGGGGCAGGCTGGAGTCGACGTCGAGGTCCGAGCCGATGGCGACGTGACGGACGAGACGCTGCGCACCATTGTCTGTCGAGGCATTGAGCTCAATGTGGAGGAGCTCGGGGCTGCATTGGAGCAGATGCGCAAAGACATGACGGAAACTTTGGACAAGCACCTCTTGCTGGACTCACGCCTGCGGAAAGATTACGAGAAAGAATATGAGCGGCTGCGATTGAAGGAGGATCGGACCAACAGGGTCAAGAACTGGTGGGTGGGCCATGGCAGTCCAGCCGAGAACGCGCTGTTTGATCACATTGGCCAGACCCCGAGTCTGCGGCAAGAGTTTATCCAAACGGAGCATGGGCCCAGTGGCGAGCTGACCTTTCGAGAGAACAGGGTGCGGGTATGGCTTTCATATGTGTGCAGGTTCAACGAGCTAGCACTCACCTACACGCACATTGCCGGAGGTACGATTGAATCAAGCCGTCTCTTGGCTTTTTTTTTTTTTTTCTTTTTTTCGCGCCACTCATGCCTGTTTGCATTTGACTAGGTCTGCCGCCACGAGCCTCTGTGTATCAAGGGCTGTCCTACGAAAACGGCGTTGGCCGGCAACGATCTGCGTTTTTTGCCGAGAAGCAGCTCTCCATATTGACCCGCGTGAGCAAGACCTACTGGCTGTCCCTGAACGAACAGCATACCTTTCGATACATGGATCAGAAAATCAGCACGCTGATATTCATGTATTTGCTGCTGTGCAAGCCTCTGGAGCACATGCTGAGCAGCTGGCTGCAAAAGCGGGGCAGCCTGAAAACCCCCGACGACGAGAATGGCATTCACAATGCCGAGCAGGACGACGAAGATTTGCTCGACGACGAGCTGGATGAAGACCACATGAGCCACAACGAGACGATGACTTTGCGACGCGAGGTCCGGGACGCTCGAAACCACTACAACAACAGCCACCTGCTCTTCAATATTGCGCCCCTGCAGACGATGGTCAGCCCAGCCACCATCTATGCGGCATTTCGTCGGCAGATGACCACGTACCTGCATCGGCCAAAGCTGGGGGTGGCCACGTGGCGACACGCCGCAACCTTCTGGATGACGACGTTTGTCATTAACCGACTGTCGGCCGAGACGACCGGCGCCCTGGGCAGCCTGATCCACACTCAAGCTCAACACTCTGGGGACACGGCCCAGCGGGCCTATGCGCGCACAGCGAGTGACCATGTGCAAACCAAAATGTCGTCGCGACTGATGCATCAAGTGGCCTCGCAAAAATGGCATGCTTTGTTTGGACTAGATCGCAAGCGCAGCATGGCCAAGTTGACAGCGAACCAAGAAGCATTGGAAGCTCGCTATCCCATCAGCTGGAACCCGGTGACTGACCTCTCGCCCGAGGCAAACGGGCGTATCATCATGAACACGAGGGCCGAGCATGACGTACCCTACATGACCCAGCTGGCCAAGCAGGCAAGCATCTCGTGGGGCCACAGTTTCAACAGCCAAGAACAGTTGGACCTGGCTGCGGCCATTGATTAGCACCGGCCGGAGGATGGATGGCTGATTGTTGTTGCACCGACAGGCATGGGCAAAGCATTTTGTACCCTGCCCAAGCTGGGCTGTCGCCCGCATGCCGGTACGGTGCTGTGGATTGTGCCGTTTGTGGCCGTGGCCAACGATTTATTGCGGCGATTTCAAGGCGCAGGTCACAGTGCCCAGCGATGGCTTGGTCCCTCTACACAGGTGGCAGATGGCCTGGACGTGCTCATCGTTACGACCGACATGTTTGTCCGCGTGGGATCTGAATCGCTACACGGGAAGGTCTGCTTTCAGCGCATCCGCACCGTGGTGATGGACGAGGCGCACACACTCATCTCGGATGCCAGCTACCGAGATGTGATGGACTAGGTCGCAGCCAGTGTGGGCTCTGGCAGATGGACCAACATCAAACGCGTGGCATTGACGGGAAAACTTTGCATCGGGGACCAGGAGCATCTGTTTCGAAAGCTGGGTCAGCAAGTGGGGGGCAAGGTGTACCGTCTGGAGACGATGCGGCGCGATCTGCAGCTGCGTGTGCTTCACGGAAACCAGCCAAACTTTTTGTCGCATGTGCAAGCCATTGTGGACACGCAGCGTAACATGCGTCAGGCGAATGGGGAGCGTGTGCACATGATGGTCTTTTGTGACACTGTGAACGAGGTGAAGCTGCTGTGTGACCAGCTGCACGCACGCGGCTACGTGGCCTTGCCCTACTACACCGACCTGGAGGAGAAGGCGCAAAAGGACCATGTGGCACAGTGGCAACGGGGTGAATGCGACGTCATTGTGGCCACCAGCTGCCTCAGCACGGGTGTGGATCTGCTCACCATTCGCCACGTGCTGTGGTATGGCAACGGCTACAACATCTATACGCTGGCCCAGGTACGTTGTTGCTCGAACAGTCGTGTTACTGTATGGATTTGAAAATAAAAAAACAAAAAAAAAACAAATGTTGGTTTTGCTGATGGTGTACATGTGCTTGGGCTAGGCCTTTGGTCGGGCTGGTCGCGATAAACAGGGTGGAACTGCCGAGCTGTGGCTACCAGTGAGACGTGGGCCAGCACCAGGCATGGAAACTTTTGTCGAAGGCAGTGCGTGCCGCAGCTGGGCGCTCGGCAAGTTGCTAGATCCCCGCGCCGCGACATGCTTTGCTGCCGGCCAGCCGCTTTGTGACGTGTGCGCAGGAACAGCACAGCGCCTGGAGCCAGCAAGAGCTGCACGCCAGCAGCGCGCTGCCCAAGCGTTGAGTGTGGCGCATGTGGAAGCAGAGCCCGAGGCGATGGCGGAGGAGGAAGATGTGTTGTCTGAGCCACCTGCAGCACGGCTCGAGGAAGAAGAATCGATCGGGCCAGAGTCCGCCTTGGATGTAGCTTCAGCATCAAACGTCGAAACGGCAGCGTCTTCAGGACCAGCTGCCGTTGCGGCGCAGTCGAGCAGAAGCACTCCACGTGCCCAGGACACGGCTGTGGTGGCGACAAATGCAGGGCCAATGACGGATGCTGCCGTGCCACGGATACAGACAAGTGATGCTTGGATTGATGAGGCAGATACAGCATCCATGTCGGTGCCAGCTTCACCCATGGTCTCTGATGCTGATGACGAGGCGCCTTTACAGCAAGACGCGCGTGGCCCGGCGCAAGCCACGATGGCAGAGGACGAGAGCACGCCACAGCCAGTCATGCAGTCAGCAGCACAGCCAACCCCCACGAAACACGCGCCAACCCCGTCGGCCTCGATCATTTGCGTGCCAGTACCATCGGCCTCGGGTTCAACCTCGTCTCTGGCGCGATCGGCTGCAAGCTCAGCCTCGGGTACACTGCGGCGTAACCGAGTGCCGCTGGTTGCTGAAAGTTCATGTACCCCTGGGTCTGGCCATCATGACGATGATGGCAACGGCATCGCTACCAGCCCTGCTCCCTCAACATCCAAGCGAACGGCATCGGACGTCACGTGCACAGCTGCTGCTTCTTCAACAGCGGTTCAAGCAGCAGAGTCGCCTCTTCCCGCAGCAAAACGAGCAGCATCAAGTGGCACGCGCACCGCTACCGTTGCCGCTACTGCTACCACTCGCTCTGAAGCCACGGTATCTGCTGCGGCTACGCCACCGAATCGGCACAACGTCGCGCCAATATTTCGGTCGAAATCGGGGACAAAAAAAAAAAATCTGATGAACTACGCGGCGGCTGACAAGTTTATTGGCGTTCTGAAGTTGATGGATGATTACTGCATGCGATGTACCATTCGACAGGCGAAACCCGTCCTGAAGGCCGAGCATCAATGCGTATGCAATTGTGGTTGCAAGNCGGTGTCACCTCAAAGGACATGAGACAAGTGAATGTTTCGTGGGCGGCAAATATCCCAAATGGACGTGTTGCTACGCTTGTGGAATGCCAAGGA